GCGTTGCAAATAAGTCAAATATAAAGGGGACAAAAAGGAGAACGTAACACAAGTTTATATAAGACCGTAATTATGAAGGGACACTTAAATTTTTGATATTCTCTTTATAAAATTGTATCATTGCTTCTAGATACTTCTTCCTCTTCTTCTTCAGCATTCCGAGCCCTTGAGGTTCATTGTTGCAGATATCACCCGCCTCCATTCATCTCTCTGGTTGGCCTTCTCTTTCCAGTTGGTGACACCGAGTGTTTGCATGTTTGTCTGGATATTATCTCTCCGTCGTCTTCTGGGTCTGCCTCGTGGTCTACGACTATTCATCTCCCTTGTATATACTGTTTTCACTTCTCTGTCATCTGACATTTTTTCAATTGTGCCCCAACCATTTCAGTCTGTTAGCTTTCATGATGCCAGTTATCAATGGTGATTTGAACAGATTATGAATTTCGCATTTTTAATACTACAGTACTTAAATAATTGTATAGTGATTGCGTTCATATACACTGTAATTTGAAATACAGAAAAATAAACGCTTGATGTTGGCACAGAATAAAATGGGTAGGTCAACCGAAGTATGCATTCAGGAGATGCAAAAAAAAAAAAAAAAGAAATAATTTAATATTATTGATCAGTTGAGGGATATGACTGATTGACGTTAATATTGTTGTACTGGTATGCTTGGCTGATTGACCTACCTCTTTTGTCTGCTCCTGCAATGCCTTGAGACGTCAGGGTAGAGAGAGATCTCTCGAACGGGCCTTTCTGTTCGCTTCGTAAATAGTTCTTTTCAGGGTATCTGATATTTCTGCTGTCCAATTTCTGTGTGGTCGACCTCTGGGTCTGTTACCGCTGTGTCTGTATTTCCTTGCTCACTCTGGTGCCTTATGTGATGCATCTTATTACATGGCCAAACAATTTGATTTGTTGTCTACTATAAAGTTCTGTATTGTTTCCATGCCGACTCTCCTCCTGATGTCATCTTTCTTAAGTCGATCTTTCCTCGTTACACCTAGCATAGTACGTAAACATTTCATTTCTGTCGCGATATTCTCCGTCTGTCTTCTGAAGACAGTGTCTATGTTTGACATTGATAGTATACTGTTGGTAAGAATATTGTTTTAAACAATGTTCTTTCTGTGTTAATATTCACAAGCTTGCATTTCAAAATTGTTGCAATTTGGCCTAAAACTTGACTGATATAATTGTAAATCTAATTGTAAATTTGAATGTTTCAAATGATATTTGCTATGGTAAAAATGTGACAGTTTTTCGTTGTTTGTTATTAAATAATGGATTTAATTGTAAAAACAGTAGCTTATCCTTAACATCATGTTGTAGAACCAGCCCCATCCCCCACCATGACCACCGCTCTATCTCCAGGTCTCCATGATGTTGTAGAACCATCCCCACCATCACCACCGCTCTATCTCCAGGTCTCCATGATGTAGAACCATCCCCACCAACGCTCTATCTCCAGGTCTCCATGATGTTATAGAACCATCCCCACCAACGCTCTATCTCCAGGTCTCCATGATGTTGTAGAACCATCCCCACCACCGCTCTATCTCCAGGTCTCCATGATGTTGTAGAACCATCCCCACCACCGCTCTATCTCCAGGTCTCCATGATGTAGAACCATCCCCACCAACGCTCTATCTCCAGGTCTCCATGATGTTGTAGAACCATCCCCACCAACGCTCTATCTCCAGGTCTCCATGATGTTGTAGAACCATCCCCACCACCGCTCTATCTCCATGTCTCCATGATGTTGTAGAACCAGCCCCACCCTCACCACCACTCTATCTCCAGGTCTCCATGATGTTGTAGAACCATCCCCACCACCGCTCTATCTCTAGGTCTCCATGGCGTTGTAGAACCATCCCCATCCCCACCACCGTTATCCCCAGGTCTCCATGATGTTGTAGAACCAGCCCCACCCTCACCACCACTCTATCTCCAGGTCTCCATGATGTTGTAGAACCATCCCCACCACCGCTCTATCTCCATGTCTCCATGATGTTGTAGAACCAGCCCCACCCTCACCACCGCTCTATCTCCAGGTCTCCATGATGTTGTAGAACCATCCCCACCACCGCTCTATCTCCAGGTCTCCATGATGTTGTAGAACCAGCCCTATCCCCACCACCGCTCTATCTCCAGGTCTCCATGATGTTGTAGAACCAGCCCCACCACCGCTCTATCTCCAGGTCTCCATGATGTTGTAGAACCATCCCCACCACCCCTCTATCTCCAGGTCTCCATGATGTTGTAGAACCATCCCCACCACCCCTCTATCTCCAGGTCTCCATGATGTTGTAGAACCATCCCCACCACCCCTCTATCTCCAGGTCTCCATGATGTTGTAGAACCATCCCCACCACCCCTCTATCTCCAGGTCTCCATGATGTTGTAGAACCATCCCCACCACCGCTCTATCTCCAGGTCTCCATGATGTTGTAGAACCATCCCCACCACCGCTCTATCTCCAGGTCTCCATGATGTAGAACCATCCCCACCACCGCTCTATCTCCATGTCTCCATGATGTTGTAGAACCAGCCCCATCCCCACCACCGCTCTATCTCCAGGTCTCCATGATGTTGTAGAACCAGCCCCATCCCCACCACCGCTCTATCTCCATGTCTCCATGATGTTGTAGAACCAGCCCCATCCCCACCACCGCTCTATCTCCATGTCTCCATGATGTTGTAGAACCAGCCCTATCCCCACCACCGCTCTATCCCCAGGTCTCCATGACGTCTAACATACCACAAAATTGCACAGGATGCTGTATATAATTAAATTCTTCTCGATGCTTAGATTTCGGCGGAAAATTCTTGATTCAGTAGTTTTACAGTTCCTGTCAAATGGTTAGCTATTGATCCCCTTAGATCTTGATCCCCTTAACTATCGATCCCGTTAGCTCTCGATTCCTCTTAGCTCTCGATTCCCTTTAACTCTCGATTTCCATAAGCTCTCGATTTCCCTAAGCTCTTGATGCACCTGTCTAAGCTAACTCAAGGTGGTCTCTGCGAAACTGTAATCCCTAAAACAAAAGATTAGGGTTCCAGTCTTAGTCTTGGTCGAGGTTTCAACTTCACCGCAATCGGGTTTCCCCATACTTGCGCCGTTCCTGTGCCAGTGCAAATAAAATGTCCCTCACTGTCGCATTTGAAAAAAAAAAAAATGGTGAACAAACAAATAGTCCTGGAACAATACAAAAATTTGCGCACGCAGTAAAATAAACATGATTTGTCAGTATCGTAGTACCACTTCTCATTCCCTTTCGGGTGGTTGAGCTGAAAGCTTTCCCCCAGGCAACTTATCTCACTGGTGTTAATTTTATGTCCGTCAGAGTTTGATAATCTCCAGGTTATGGCTGACAGCGCAGAGTTCCAATACTGACGGTACCTGTCACAATCTGGTTATGTGTCGGTCTTGCCTTTCCTTTGAGTGTAGTTAACCGACCAGACCCTCTGGTTACATTCAGGTGTATTATTCTCACCAGGTCATAATTATCTTGTATCTCTACTGATTCAGTTGCTTGTTTCCAAATGCCTCTACCACATCTGCCTCGTCGTGTATCAATTCCTCACCCAGTGGTGCAAATCCAGCTGGCATTGCCTGGAAAAAAGATCCAAAGTAGGCTCACTACCCATGACCTTCCAAGTGGAGTTTGCCACTCTGCTCGAAGCATCCCTGTCCACTTTTCTCAGCATGCTTTCAGAGTCTTTTATAATTATGACATGTGTGTGCATCTTGTATGTATGTAAGGGTGTGAAAGATAATATTTACTTTCTCTAACCTATTTTTATTTTATTTCCCTTTGCTTGTAATTTTCTGTTTTGTCCAATTTTAACAATATCCAGTTATTTGCACCTTTAACCCCCCTCCCCTCTTCCCCACCGCCCACATCCCACCCCGTCCAGATATTGTCACAGAGAGCCGTTGCAGTAGAGTAGATAGAAACCTTGCCTTACTGACAAAATATCTAGGTTTCCGTTCCCTATAGGGACGTATATATGTGAAATGACCTCGTCTCATATGTTGATCCAGCTAAAAATGAGTTTTGGAAATGTCAAAGGAAGTAAAGGCGGTATACATTATGTTGCATACCACCCATCAAATACGAGCTGATCTATAAAAACATGGACTAGAACTGTATAAGCGATTGACCAGTAGCCTGAGATAGGTTATTTTATATTTTTTTTTTAACCTTTTGCCAAACCACTGAGAATCTGTTCAGTGTGTATTTGTATTTTCAAAACAACTTATAAAGCTATATTTGCGCTCATAATCTATTCCTTGTCGGATACCTAAATGCGGAAACGATATTTACGTTTTGCATTTCCACTTTTTCCGCAGGACACATATAAGCTATCGGTAAAACTGCATGATTTAACTGCCCCGATCTACTTATTAAGTTATAACAATGTTTATATAGGACGCATTTAGTTTTTGTTGTTTCTCAATCCCACCCCGGCTGTAGTCGGGGGCACAAATATAACCTACCGGTTGAACGGGGTTTCTTAGACTTACGTCTGGGGGTTTCTCATCCGAATTGTGGCACTTTGTGTCATCAGGTGTTATACCCTCTTTGTGCAGTCCTGGTGGGGTCGAACGACATTCATTCATTCATTCATTCATTTATCTATTCATTCATTCATTCATTCATTCATTCATTCATTCATTCATTCATTCATTCATTCATTCATTCATTCATTCATTCATTCATTCATTCATTCATTCACCGACTCCCTGTAACATCGTTGACTAGCACTTAGGTTTCAAAGATGTATACTTCAATAAACATGTTCAAATGCTGAACTGTTTTTGTCATATCAGTCTTGTGCTTAAGTTGTGCGAGTGGGCAGCTGAACGTTCCTCTTTACACATCTTCAGGAAGCTCCTTTAAGACAAATAAAAGTGTCAAGGATGCAAATGAGGTGTGAAAGGATAAACATTATTTTTTGCAAAGGGTTAAAAGTTCGAAAAAAAAATGACA